TTTTAAACAACTGAGAGGTTTGTTAAAATACCTTCTGCTAAAATGATAAAATGATGCATCATGCAAACATGCTTTTCATTTCATTTACAGGCAAATATGATGATCCTACAGTGCTTCTTACTGCAGCTGGAACACTGGTAAGCTGTTAGTTTTTGTGAAGGAAGTTTAACGTTCAATGTAGTTTGGACGCTAGGGAGAGCACTAGGAGAAAACTTCGAGCAATCTCAGTGTCACCAAGAACAATCTGAGAAAGGTTTTTAATAAATGCCTCTTTGCTTTCACAGAGTAACAACTGAATGTCAGAGCCTCAGACAAGTAAATTGCAGCCAGACTGAATGTAAATAAAAGTAATTTAGAAGATCCTCTATGTTTTATCTCCAGTGATTACAAATGCATGGATTACAATTTTGTTTTCCGAATGTGAGTGTCTCTTTAAGGATCTCTTTGTAGTCTATACAAGCTTTGCTGAACGTGCTAAATACCATAAACTGATTTAAAATGATCAAAAAGTTACTCTTAGTTATCTTCATATATATTGTAATGAATCAAACTGTTCAAATTACTCCTTTTAGAACTTCTATGTTAAACAAAATGTACATTTTCTTTTTATTGATTTAGTTTTTTTTTTGTTGTATTTGCTTTCTGGATGAATAAAGTTTGTATTCACATTAATCTGGTGTACTTTAATTGTGGGAGGAAATGCAGAGGCTGATATTCGGAACCATTTACAAGAACAGCCACAGTTTGGTTTATAGAGAAACCAAAACTCATCTTAGCTCTCCTAATAACTGTCATATTTTGCCTAAAACCAGTTTACTTGAGTTACATCATGCACTACATATCATTGATTAAGATGTTTGTTTTACCTTTTTGTATCAAAAAGCTGCCTCTGAGGACACTTAATAGGATTTAGAAATGAAAGTCTAAGCAACAAGATTTCCTGCATTGCTTAAAGATTTTTAAATTGAGACCATGCAAGGGATTCAGAACTGAAACATTGAAACCTAATGACAATTGCTCTCAGTAAAGTTATTGACACAAATAATATATGGTTCCCTTTTTGTACTGGTTAGAACGTTTTAAATAAATAAATTTGTCACCTTTAGGCATAGGTATATTGTACCCAAGGATGAAGTAGAAATGTTGAGGTAGATAATTTGAAATCCTGTTTAAACCTGATAGATTTAAACAGTTCACTTTGGTTCACTATAATTGTCTTGGGTTTTCAAATCAGTTTGTAATATCAGATATATATTTATTCATGAAATGGATGGTAAAGGCATTATCTGTTGTTGCTGATGTTGAAGAAATAGATTCAAGTCTCAACTTTCAGTACTAGTACTGATGGTGTTTTTTTTTTTTTCTTACACCAGTCCTCACCTTTATTGCGCATATCTGATTTTATTTATTACATCAGGTCAAACATTTGACATGATCATGGAGGCAGACAATACATTTACTCGTTCCCCAGCATCAATGAAACTTGCAATAGATGGAACAACAGGTCAGTCAAAACTTTACATAAAACTTCAACTGAACTTGAAATGCAAGTATATTTTCATTTGTCAGATAGAAGTACAGTGGTTAACACCCCTTATTTAGTTTGTACTTTCATTCTACTTCCTCTGTTAAGGTGCAGACTTCAGCACAGTTAATATACAGGGAAACAACTTTGTTAGTAGATCTATACTTTGTTTTGCATTGTAATACCCAAATGTAACTTAAATTTATGTTTTCCTACTTGAGTTTTACAAATTCTATAAAGAAAAATCACATTACTGTTTTCTGTGACTTCATTCAACTCCTGTAGTAAGCAAAATTTCCAAACAGATGCGACAATTACATGATCAGATACGTATTTGGTTGATGAGGTGTTGCTTAGGGAGCTTCAGCCTTGGATATTTTCTTTGTTTGTTATTGTGATTTTTAGTCTTTCTTTTATTTTTATTAAGGTTGAAAAAGAGTGATCTATTTATATTATGAGCAAACAGTGTCAAAAAACGGCTGTTTGTACAACATAGATTTCATCTAAACTTAGTCTGGTCTAAATCTGGCCTACCTGCACAAGCCATGAGCAGGGCAATGGTTAAGTATGCATCACAGCCCCTCATTGTGGCTTTGGCAGCAGAAGAGGTTGGTGCAGAGTTTTTGCAGCACTTATCTGCTCATTCATTGAAAGTGGGAGGCCAAGCAAAGAGTGCTCAGACTGTCAAACTATCTCCATTTAAGTGAAAGTAAACCTGTCATGAACAATAATTGTGCTTCCAAAAAAGTAAAAAAACAAAACAAAACAAAGCCTTGTTTTTGCTTAGAAAACTTGTTTTTGGTCCACTCTATAAAGCCTCGAACTCAACATTATTTCTGACATTTTTAATTGAAAAAACTTCCTGGATGGGAAGTCTTCGAACTTGGAAACAAAGTCCAGTGGATTGATTTTTTAACTGCTTTGGGCTGACTATGACCTGGATGACTGAGAATGTTCACCAGGAATAATTGTGCTTCTGTCCCCAGTTTCAACAACTCTTATCCCTGCAACCAGATGTTATGCTGTTATGCAGTGAGCACAGTGTTTTAAGAATGAGTGAACATGTTTAGTGATACAATGTGATAATACGATCACATTGATTTATTATTACTCACTTGAACTCTAAGAAAAGGTAAATCCCTTTATTGTCTCACAATGGGGAAATTCACTTTTTGCATTTGACCTGTCCCCATAATAGTGGTTTATTGAAAGAATTACAGTGATAAGCTGAGCCCAGAAAATACAACTGGAATCACAAAGGCTTTCATTTTTACCTCCTCTGAATTTTAAACGCTTGTATTTCAGTTGTAAAATAAAAATAAAATAAAACCCTGCTTTGCATAAATCAAAACTTCTNTCTGGAATTGAATATCTGGACGTTTCTACCAGAGTCTGTGGGCTGGGCAAGTGTAGAAGAGAACGGAGGAGGAATAGATTGAATGCTAGACTTAAAGGGTATAGATGGGCAAAACGCGCTCGGATGATTTGAAACAGCTGTAACGTCACCTGCTGAGGCAACTTGATGTTCAACTTCACAGGAGGGGAGGGTGAGTGAAACTAAATTAATATATATTTCCCTTATATAATATTGCAACAGGCAAGGAGAAACGTTAGAATACATAGAAATATATAAACTGCCTGGATGGAAAGGGCGGGGGAAGCATAATGAGCAGAATGAAAAAAAAAAGAAAAAGAAAATTATAATAGAAACATGGTTAGATACGTCTTACCTAGAGCTGGCTCAGGGCGGGCGTAGGCGAGAGTGAATGTAGGAGGAGGAGGAGGGAGGGGATCCCGCTGCGAAGCTGAAGGCAGTGATGACGTGGCAGTGTGGGGATTTCCCAAGGCTTGGACACGTGCAGACAGAGTCTGAACGGAGCGATTTGGAGAGTCCAGGTTGGAGCATAGAGAAGCCGAAAACTGGTCAACTGCGGGAGAATGGTGGAAGGGGGGAGCCACTATGGATTGAGAAACTGACATGGTGGGAACATCTGAAGAAGGACCTGGGTTTGCGTCGGAACGGAGAGAGGGACCGGGCGCTATGGCGGCTGGAGCTGGGATGTTCTCTGCTGCGTTTGCATGACCGCTTACGAACCCTGGAGCGGAGTGCGGAGGACAGAGATGAGAGAGCGGCTNCTGGTTCTGCTGGGAGTTTTTCCTCTCCTCGGTCGCTACAAGCATGCTTAGTATGAGGGATTGCCTTTGACTCAGTGAGTCGTGGCAATCAAGTGGTTTTCCTAAGATAAAAAATCAATTTGACTGTATGATCCGGCTGAACTGTAAAGTGCCTTGAGATTACATGGGTTGTGAATTGGCGTAATAGAAATAAACTGAATTGAATTGAAATAGCTGCTCTCCAGCAAAAAGAGAGGGTAAGTTGCTGTAATCCCACTAACAACTTTTAAATAAATTAATTTAGAGATTATAATTGGCATCCAAAAAGTAATTCTGCAATTAGCACATTTACATTAGTTTTTTTTTCTTCCATTTAATACTCCTTTTCTACTGTGTTTCAATATCTTAAAAAAAACACAAAAGCTTTTGCCCTCTTCATTAACTCCCTCCATAGGGAGCTACAGAAAAAAGAAATGTCTACGATTCAGCTCTCTTTGTGTCGCTGCAACACAAAAACAGATCTCTGGTTGGTAAATGCAGAAACATGTTCAAACTGAAAAAGCTCAGAAAACAAAGCTGAGGCTCATGCTGTTTTCAGATCTCAGTTCATAAGCAGGAGCAAACAGTGGAACTATGCAGCGTGGTTCTCCACAGCTGCAGGCAGTTTTCATCTGTGTTCCCACAGAGTTCACTTTGTTTCTCTGTCACTTGGTCAGATTGCAGGTTGCTCATCCTGCTCCGCTTCAGCCTGTGCAGGCTGAGGACGCTCTCGTCCGTGTGCACATACTGCAGGAGATAATTTGTTCTAATGCATTTTAAATGCTCCCTCTCTCCGCAGTGGGGACAAGTATTAATTGTCTCTTGCATTGCTCGTATTCCTATTGGTTCTCTGTAATGGAATAACCTTGACAGTGATTGATTTTCTGTTTTCTGCGATCAACGTTAATTGATTAAAAGAATTACACTGTGTATCTTTTGTTTACACACAGAGAGCGGGACTCACCTTGGTTGCAGGTAGCCCCTCCGTAGGCAGACTGCGAGCAGTCGCAGATGTAGCCATTGCTCTTCTCGATGCAGCGGCCTCTGTTGTGACAAAGACTGCTAGAGCCACTGCAGTATCCTGGACAGCCGGAGCTCACTCCAGGGGTCATCTTGGCCCTCTCCTCAAGGTCAAAGGTCAAGCCGTTAACCATGAGAGACCTGATACAACCCAGGAAACCTCTCTGCTGGGATGCTGTTCCCCCTGAGAACATAGTTAAACAACGAGAAAATAACAAGCTGTAGTTACTTTACAATTAACATTGTTTGTAAAGCAATAAACAACCAGTGCAAATCTAGGGGAACAATTAAGGCATTTAGGCATATAAACCCCATCTAGAGTAATAATGCAAAACATTTGCCTTCGCCAGTTTTGGAGGGAGACTTGCACTCTACGTTGCTTCATAACTTCAGATTTTCCCTCCCAGAGATGCAAGACTGATGAGTTTGGATGGAAAATAAATCATACAGCTGTGCAAGTAATTTATCTGAGAGAGGAAAAAAAATTCACAAACCTAAAGGCATAATCTCCTTTCACAATCCCTTAAGGCTGATAAATGAAGCTTGTTAAATGCGGTATTGTTTCAGATGAAGAGAAGCTCTGCCTGTATTTGCTGCATACATTTGTTATGCGTTCCCTCATTTCAAACCAAGCTACTTCAAGTAAAATCTCACCTGCCAGTGTTACTGGCTGTGATGCAGTATGCCAGTGCTGATTTTAGTGCTATTAACCCTTCTACCCGCTGAGGTCCCTGTAGCAGGATTCTTATTACAGCATGACCCACAGTCACCGTTTTCCACAGGATGAATGGATAAAAAGGCTTCTGATTCTACTGGGAGCAAAATGGATGCTTTCTTTTTCTTTCTGCATCAGATCTGTATTTGATGCAACTGCTGGGAAGTTTTGGAACAATTTTGTCTCATCCGTGTCACTGAGTCATACTTACATGTTTGTTTTCATCGTCTTCAAACAAAGAACCAAGCGGACGTTCTTTCACAGACCGAGTTTTTAAAGAATCTATTGACAGTTAAGGAAGTGCTTTCATCAAGCTTATTTTTTTTTATTCTACGTGAGATAAAAATCAGAATCAGCAAGTCAGAGCTCAAAGAAAATTGAACGTTTATATAAGCCAGGAAAAAAAAGAATAATCAGTTCATCTCTCTTAGTGTCTTTTTCTTGATAAAATACTTTAATTTTCCAGCTAAGGTGCTTAGCTGATATCTGCCACCCGGAGCCACTCCAATTTAAAACGTGATATAAGTGAACACTATAATATATTATACCACCATCTTGTACATTAAAAACTGCAGTGACTGGCTTTTTCATTTTACTTATGACAAAAAAGATGTAACGTGTTTCACCTATCAAATGCTTCACACATGTGCAGAACATAGCAGAAACTTATCCTATTTCACATCTCTTGATCAGAACATTACAGATTTATGATGCTGAATTACGTTTTAACCAAAATATATTGTGTCATTTAATGCAACATTTTTTTAATTTAATAATAAAATACATAAATAATAATAATAAAAAAAAACATGACAGTCTTTTTATTTGGAAGATTTTATGGCTTAAATTGCACATTTTTCTATCTAAGCCCTAAAATAAACACTAATTTAAATTTGAAATACAAAACAAAAAGCAAAATAATAAAATAAAACTTTATGTTCAACTTTGAAGAGAGTGAGAGTGCTGTGTTGTGGAGTGACAAACATCATCAGTGTGTTTTGTTCTTTTCTGTGGTTCTACTGTATAAACTTCAAAGTTTCTCTTTTACCATAACCAAAAATGAACGTCAACTAATTAAATAAAAACAACTATAATTGTTTTTAAAAGTTTCGATGAGAATATGTATTTTAAAGCCCTATTTGTTTTAATGTGTTGCTGTTAAAAACATTACTTGACAAGATGACGTGGAACCAATGATGCCTAATTTGTTGCTCCCTGTATGTAAGCTGCTCAGTCAGCTGCCCAACTACATACTGCTGTCGTTTATAGATGTAAGCTGTCCCTCCTGATGTCTCCTGACAGCAGTAAGCATGTTCTCCTCATCACCTCATGTCACAGCTCTATATAAGCCCTCATGGCATTCTGCATTACAGCCACTGTATCAGTCATTTCCCTCACTTGATAGCAGGAAGACGTTTTGCTGTTGTGTTTACCTCTGTATTAGCATGTCTACATGTCCTTCATTTAGAAACATTACGTGGGTGCTCCGTGTCTGAATTTTATGCTGTAGCCAAAAATACACTTTTCATTAGAATAGAAAATCCTTTTCTTGCCCAAAAATTGAGAAATTCTGTTGTTACAACAGCAAAAAGGTTATAGAGAAAATGGTCACACAAATGTGGACCTTGGAATAAAAAAAATAAATAAAAGTGAAGAGTTAAAAAAAAAAAAGAAAAATTGTACTGTTAAGTGTTTAAACAACATAAATCCTGTGCACCTGAGAATAAATAACCAATATACAGCTATGAACAGTTTTACAGTAATGGATAATTGGAGGTTAGGATGTTGTACTAATTGGGGAGATTAGGTCTATAGCACACTTTGTTTTTTAAAGAATACGTTTTAAATAATAAGGGAAAGTAATATTCATTTGTTTGTAAAAAGAATGAGATAATTTTCTAAAGGTTGTTGAGAGTGGGATTGTTGTTGATTTCCCCTCGAGTCTGGTACCTCACTCTGACTAACTGACTGCTCTAAAACAGATTTTCATCAAATTGCAGATGCGAAGATGAGATATCGTCTAATCATAACATAGATATGCTGCCATATTTAACAAATTACATCAGTGAGACGTTAATTTATCTTAGTAAAAAGACTGATGTTTTTATGCCCTGATTTCTGCTATTTATGATCATGTTCAGCTTGCAAAAAATGTAAACATGCATTTATTATTATAACATTGAATCAGATAGAAAAACATATTTTTTCTAGAAAAATCTGGGTATAATGTAAAAATTATTACCTGCTAACTACATCTGAACCCTTTATAAATATACAGTATATAACAAAACTTCCAAATAGTTCAAATAAAAAAGTCAATTCTGGAAAGTTTTAAAATTATTCATTATCATAATTTTTTACAGCAAACATGAAACTTTGTGCTGGGTCCATCCCAGCTGTCAGGGACACTGGAAGGTGACGAGCTGTGAGGTATATCTGAGTCCAGGCTCTGTCTGTTTAAGGGAAACTCAGGTCATTGATCTGCTCCCTGGGATTCTTTTGGCCTCTTGTAAAACCTGATGAAGTCTGTTGTTTGTTTATCTTGTTTGCAGCCTGTTTTATTTTCCGCATTCTGTATTCTGAACCACGTCTTGGACTGTCTGTGCTGGCAACCTAAGGGAATTCTAGAGCGGTCTCTACTCATGGAAGCAGTCTTTTCTTATTTAACACCATACAGATCCAATTCCTTATTTTTCTAGCAGCGAGGTGTTTTTGAACAAATTATTTCTACATTGTGTTTGCACTATTCTAAATGTTAAACAGCGATAGGCAATTACACTATATTATCATATTAAGTTTATTTTTTCAGAGAAATGTGAAACAGCACCTTTGTGAACCTTAAAAATGAAATTATCTTTGAGCTCCTCAGAGGTGTTTCCCCTCCATCTGTCTTTTCATTTATTTAGTAAATTAATTTGAAGTTAAATGAGCTATTAGGTGCATTATCTGTCTCCTTGAGCTGTGATTCAATTAAAATGGAAAGAAGAATAAGATTTTATGGTGTTCTATAAGAGGGAGTCCTTATTGTGGCACATTTAAATGTCAGAAAGGAGGTAACTGCAGCAGGAATGCGACAAACGAAAGACAGTTGTCACGCACCTTAAACAGTGTAGTTATTGAAAAAACCAACAATAAAACAATTCGATTTTTGAAAAATGGTTTCTCTTTACAGGATGTCAGATTTTTCAGATAGCTGCAGGCAGATACAGCTGCTTGAGAAGATATAAGACAGATAAAGAGTACAGCAAGTTTAACACCTCAAATTTTATTTTCTCTGTTAAAATATTTGAATTATTATATCTCAATTGTTGGAGTCATGAAACAGTACTATTATTTTATATAATTTCATTAAAGGAGGTAGAGGGCAGCTGAATATCACTAGGAGTTTAGAGGCCACATAAAAACACCAGGGATTTCCAGAATCTCATCAGATGTGAAGGAGACCTTTAACTTTCAGCCATTTTTAAGTTTCACAGTTAAAGCAAAGCACCCCTGCTATGATGGGTACAGATTTAGGCCTACTGTACCTTTAAAATCCAAAGTTACATCATCAAACCATCCAGTTGCACCTTTTTGCTTTTAAGCTTTGTTACAATATCAAAAAAGAAGGCGATTCCTACAAATGTGTTTTAACCCTTTAAAACCTGGACCATGAAATAAATTAAAGAAAATTCTATTTTTTTATTTAGAGTTGTCATTGAACTCTCTGAAAAACGAAAGAAAAGAATATATATATATATATTGTATAAGTTAAATTAGATCATTTATTTTAATCAATTTTGATACATTAGGCATTTCTGTAGAGTATTAAAGACGTTTTCTGTTCATTACATGTGTCTGATTGTGTAAGTCAGGGTTTTTAAGATCAGCAACATCAAACTGATGATGCAAAGTCCTTAAAAGCTCATGTATCAATTATGATATAATTGGTTTTAAAGGGTTAATTTGTAAAGAAAATCTGTAAAACTTTAGCCTAATCTAAAGTGGCTTGTTTAAATACCTCAGCTACAGCAGATGTTTATTATAGTTATGAATGACCTCTGAAATGTTGCTAAACGCTTTGCTCTAAACCCAGCTCTACTTCTATGACACAATCCTAAGAGAGGCAAGGGGTCCATCTGACTTTGGCTAAATGTACCTCTTGTTCTTAGTTCCTATCCATTTAACTATGGGGGGTGTCTGGGGAAGGGGGGGGTCAAGAGTAAGAAAACTACCCAGGGTAGAAAAGGAGCTCCAGGCTGCTCTGCTGAATCCCAACAGCCTTCAGCCTTTTGAACTTCATGAAGCGAAGCAAACACATGTGGAGGATGCTGTAGCCTCCGGGAAAATGTAGCCAACAGATGAAATCCCATTATAAAACCCTAAACACATGAAGGTGCGTATATTTGGACGTGTCACACAGACTGCAAGTGAGGAAATTATGTATTTTGGGGAAAATCCATCTGGTAGGTTGTGACTGTGTTGTGTTATGCAAAGAATGGTGACAGTTTTGCAGTATAGCTCATATTGACCAGATAGGAATGTCAGGAGCTCCTTAAGATAAATGAACAATGAGAGCAGAGATCCTACTTCCATAACACTACTTAGACGGCACCCATCAGGCGACCGCTGACTTACTTCCACTTTGGCTGAAGTGCCTTTATTGATTTGCACAATTTAGATGGACCCAAAGTTTGCAGAAGAAACAGAAGAAACCTCTTGAAGTTGCAGCATAAAATACTTATAGAATGAGCTACCCATCTAGAAATCCGGAAAAAAAATGTGTTTGTTTCCTCAACCCGGGGGATTCAGTGTTTTTTTAAATATGAATATTAACCAAAGATAAAATTCTTCATATGTGTTTTACCACAAAAAAGCAACTCAGATTCTTATTTTGCTGTAAAAAAAATCTAATTCACAGAATATGCACAGACCTATAAACGTATAAGACCACTTAGTCAGAAACTACATAAGTCTGATATTTTTTCAGTAGATATTGGAATAGCAGGTGGAGTGTTGTGATAAAGTGAGGCTGACAAATCAATTATTATTGTCTTTAAACTTTTACATTTTAAAGTAAACATTTTCGAATGTTTGTTTTACTTTCTGGATAAAAAATGTCCTAAATAGAGAGAGGCAGACTAGCGTGAGTCATTTAGTTCATTTCCAATTAGCCATTTTAAATTCAGTGGGAGTTCAGCTCTCAGTTGCAATGTTTGCGCTATCTGTAGTGGATTTAACTTACAGATTTGTTGTTGTGATTCCTCTAAAAGCTCCTCTTTCTCAGTTGCAGCAGCTGCTGCTAGTAAAACAAAATCTGTCCATCGTTCATCAGCAGCAACAAACAGCAGATGGACAAAGTCAGTGACTAGCTGCTGTGCATATTACTAGTGCCTGAAGGCAGTTGGACGGCTTCTCTTTTCTGTTGTACTTATCATTAATTATAAAGCAGGATCCACTGATTGAGCAGAATTGCAGGAACTTCACAACAACACCAGGGCAGCATTAGGTTTCCGTTAATGGATAGTTTCCTCAGAGCATCTTCTATATACCAGACTGTGCAGGTGACTCTCATCCTCTAAACCCTCTGATTTAATGGTTTTCTCAAGGTCGGGCCAATAACTGGACTTTTTCTTCCCTCTCACCTCCCCTTTGACCTCCAACATAAAGCTATATATCTATTCACCAGTCTGAGCTATTCTTGGTGTTTAAATATTTTATGAATACTTTGATGCATTGCATTAGGTTAATTGTAACAAAGTTTCCACAGTTCTGGAGTCACAGAGGTTAATAGATGCCAACACTTACTCATTTCCAACTTATCAAATGTTGACATTTAACACACATAGAGCACCCTTGATGTCTGCTGGAGTGTGCTGGATAACCCTTTACATTTTCACTCAGTGTTCCACTTAAGAAAAACAAGGGGTGGGTGGGCAGGGTGGGTTGGGGTGGGGTGTTGGAGGTTCTGAGGAGCTTCCTGCAAAGAAGTGACACTAAATTTACAGTTTTGCTGTAGCTCCTGCTGCTGTGCTGAAGGTTACCTGCACCATCTATCTATCTAGCTCGCCATCATCGCTGAGTGAGTGCTTGCATGAATGGGTGAATGACTGAATGTAGTGGAAAGCACTTTGGTCGAGTCTCCTGACTTGAAAAGATGCTATATAAGTACCGGCCATTTACAATTTACGGAAAATTATAGCATTTTTGTGTCAAACACCAAGTTGGACACCATTTTTTAAGTATATTGAAAAAAGAAAACTTTAACATTTGATGATATAGTTGACATTATGTTTCCTAAATGTGCAGAATAAGTTAAAGAAACATTAGAGAATTAATGTTTGTGGTGTTTTGCAAATACATTTGTTTCATAATCTGTACAGTTTTATTGTTCTACATTTTTTACAATGTGCTGTTAGAAAAAACATTTTAATGTCACAATGTACTTTTTATTTTTCTGCTCTTTTTATTCAGCAGAGATATTTAAAAAATCACAAAGGTCTAGATGTGAGAAAATAAATACCTCAACGTGTTCCTTTTAATGAGCTCCACTTATCATAGGCTGTGTTTACCAAGATCAAGGGTGTGAGATTCACAGTGTTTTGCTGCATACAGTTTTTTATTTTTTATTTTTTTTTTTTTAACTTTGTTGAAAAAAATATATATAATAAAAAATGTTTCATGGTCAGATAGTAGTAAACTATCTCCAACTTTCAGGTTTTTTTGGAGCTAGCAAGCTGAGGTGAGTCAAGTGTTTGTAAAGTATAGCATGAGATTAAATGATTCTGTTATCTGCTTCTGCTTTCTAAGACCAAGTGGAGATAACAGTCTCCCCCCTGATGTTCAACATTTCACACATTAAATAATGCCCCCTACTATCTTATGGACATTTTCTCTCTGAAATAAAACAACAAAAACGTCAAGTTATTTATGTTTCTAATAAATGTGACCTTTTTATCTTCTCTATTTTAACATGTCTAATGCCTAAAAAAGATAGAGTAGAAGCATGATCTAAAAAAAAGATAAAGAGGTAAAAAAAAATAGTGGAAAGTGTTCATCTGAATGAATGAACTATTGTTCTCTATAATTTTCTGGGTGGCGTCACTTTCTTGTGAGTCTCTCAACTTCCAGCTATAATAAATGAAAATAAGAACACTGATGTTGTTTATTTCCAGCAAAAATATCAAAACAAACAATAATTAAAATTTGTTATATCTTAGATGAAACAAAGGCTCACATAATCTTACTTCAAAACATTATCAAAATGTTAAAAAAAGAAAAAAAAAAACCTCATAAAACTGTTTTATACCCTTTGATAGATAATGGGTATTGCATGCTAACAAAGAAGCAAAATGACCCTCAGAAAAAATATGCATGTTTTCTAAGTTGGGCTACTATATAAAGCCTCAAACTCAATGCTATTTCTGACATTTTTAATCGAAAAAGCTTCCTGGATGAGAGCGAAACGTCTTAAAACCTGGAAACAAAGTCCAGTGGAATGTTTTTTTTTACTCTTTTGGAATATTTTACAAAACCTGTCGTTGTCATAACCCAACATTTGACACACAAAAGTGATCTCCAAATTAACCCTTAAACAGGCACTTTGCACCAGGAGATACACACTCTTTAACATCCTGTAGGAGGTATGCTGGGAGGTTTTCACTAATCAAGTTAGTATTTATCAAAAGTCTTGTCTGGTATTAGCATCTAGATCACATAATTTGGTTCAGGCTATCTTTCATGGTTTTGTCAGCCTGATCAGAAAACATCATGGCTAGAGAACCTGCCTCCTTGGGGCTACGTAATCATATATTACTCATACTTAATTTCAATAAAACAACAATATAAATTCCTAAAATGAATTATGACATTTGTCTAAACATTCTGATGAAGAAAAAAATATCCAACTATGTTTGTGGTGTTACTTAGCAGCTATTGAAATGTATGTGTCCCCTGAGATACGTTGCCAGATTGGGGATAGAAATCTGATCAATGTGCATTATAAAAAAAATTTCATTTCAAACTGGAAGGCATGTTAATAATTACTTCAGTACCAGATATTATCATGCACAGCTGTGCCCATTATAACAGTATAACTGTATTTTACTCAAAAAAAAAAGTATTTATTTTCAAGCAGGGCATCTCAGCTAGGTCCTTTTATGGGAAAAGAAAGTAAAAGCACAGGAATGAGAGTGATAGAGGAGATTCCTGCAAGTTCTTCTGACTCTGAGTCAAAGAGTGATGAAGATCAGGAAGTAATGTTCAGCCAGCATGAATTGGAGGCATTGAGTGAAAGCAGTTCTGATGAGGAGGATAATGAGATGGATCGCAGTATTGGTAAAAATGAATAAAATCAACTTTAAAAGTGCTATGTGTAATGTAAATGACCAAGGAATACAACAATGTATAATTCATCAAATTGAACAGTAGTATGTTTATCATTGGGGCTCTGTTTATACCTTAATAGGGCAACATATCCTGGGAGATGCAACTCATAAAATCCAAAATATTGAATATATATACATTTTTAATGTGGAAATATTTTACTTAGGGCCTAAAGAGATGAGTGATACTATTTAATTATTTTTTGCAACTTATTTTCCACTCCTGCCTGTTTAAGGGTTAATGTGAGGGTCTAAAAGTTAACAGAGGAATGGAAACTATTTTAATTTCATATTTAGAGGTTTTGGCTCTGAATCAAAGTAATTAAAGCTAAAGCTAAATAGATGGAAATTACAATTTAAAAGCAAATTGACATAGATGGACAATCCCCCCCCCCCAAATGTAGCTAAAAACAGATTCATGCGAAGCTGTAGTCAGTTTGATGGAAAGCCTACCCACAAACAGCTGGCTGCTGAGCCGGAGGCGGAGGTGTCCGTCAGCCGGAGCCTCCAGGAGACGAAGGGGCAGCTGGTCGACCTGCAGGGACGCTTCCTTCACATTCCGCTCTGCCCTCACGTAGTGCCACTGTCTGTCATTCAGAGGGAGGTGGGACTTCACGGACAGGACGGCCGGACCGTTGCCCACATCAAAGGAAAAAGTCACCACTGCTGGAGCTGAGGGACACACACACGGAGACATAGAGCCAGATCAGACTGAATATGATATGAGGTTTTATATGAGGTTCTTCTCCATCCTGCCTTTCTGATGCAACCTGATACAATGCTGCTGAAAACTTGATGACCTGCATACATTTATGAAGGAGCTCAGCTGACAGCTTGTCAATATTTCATGTGTCTGATGCTGCAGCAATACATAAAGACTCCAAATATCCACACAACGTCCCCCCCAGGTTTGAGAACAAAACGCATGATAATAAGCGTCTGTAGACACCTGAGCATATCGCTGAAGTTGTTCTTGCTTTAACAAATAGAGCGTCTGCTAACTAAAAGCTTAGGTTTGTACCTTTCTTTTGTTAAAGTAAAACCTTTTGAGGAAACGTATAATTTTCAGGAGGATGTTGCAGTAAATCTGAAAGGGGTTTTCCATTTTATTTCCACTTCACCCGTCAGACAAATTCATTAAGCTTCTATATGTGTATGACAGCAAGCTATTGCTGTTGACTGTGCCACTGGGATTACATCATGCTGTGCAAACCTGACAGGCTGCTTCTCCGGGAAATTGAACTGTCAACCACAGTACTCCCAAAGAAGAGCAAAGTATATTGCTGATGGCTTTTGTGGGCATTCTTTATATGTGGACACTCTGGCAAGTCATGATGTACTGCATCACTCTTATTGTGGTATTAACATTCACTCACAGCTCAGCTCCACCCTGATAAAGTCCTTCAGGCCCTGGTTCTCCAGAAATACCCCTGAGGGAGAGCTGGTCTTGAAGTAAAAGGAGATATCTGAGGCTAGCTCTGCCTGCAGGGTGGGGAAGTACAGGTAGGAGGCCTCCTGGTAGAAAGAGGCCGCGTTCCAAATAGATTCTGAAAAAATAAAAAGGAAGAACAGTGAATGAAACAAAAGAGACCCTCCTCCCCCCTCCCCATACCCCCCTCCATGTGTACAACTAGCTGATGTGAAGTTATTTGCTCTTGTCAAAGAGGTTATGGGTTAAAAACAACTTCTCTTTAGATTTGCTCAAACCTCAATGGGACTTTTCTGATTAAATTAAGGTGACTCTGTATGCTTTTTTCTATTTATTTAGCCACTTTTCTGATCATTTAAATTTCATCAATTAAATTTATTTATGTAGCGCCAATTCACAAGGCATGTAATCTCAAGGCACTTTACAGAGACAATTCGATCAGATCAAACAGTCAAATTGATTGAAAGTTTTCTATCTAAGGTTGATTGCATCGACTTATTGACTCGTAGGCAATCCTTCACACCAAGCATGCTTGTAGCGACAGTGGAGAGGAAAAACTCCCTTTTAACAGGAAGAGGTGTCAAGTAACAAAGTATACCTGGTATATTAAATTTGCTTTTTTTAGTATCCGTTCTTTAGTTTTCTGAGTAATTTTGAACTTTTCCTCATTACATTTGAACACAAAAATCCATACTTTTTTTCTCCTTACTTTCTTTAACTAGCTTGTAAATTTTCTACATTTTGATATCAACATGATTCAACAGCCAAACAAAATAAGGAAAATAAAGAAAGGAGTCTGTCAAGTTGCAGCCCAGTTTGTTTATACAATGACACTGATAGTAACACAGATGTGGACAGGCAGCTGGGAAACATTGCAAATGAATGATCATTCCCATCCATTCGCACTTTTTAAAATTTCGAATGTAAATGCTGATTATGTTTCAGATAACTCTTTCATACCAGAGCTCTAAAATATTCGTTGGGAACTTCTGTTCTGCTCAATCTATATTATCAGGTCTTTTTAATTTAGAACGAAACCAAACACAGACGGCCTTGTTTTATGTTCTCTCTATCAACACAAAGAGCAAAAGAGTAACATTAACCTATTTTTTTGTGTATTTTGTGCTTGGTTTTCACTTATTTTGTATCATTTAAAACAAAAACCTCATTTTACTTTTGTACTTACGTGCATTGTAGACTCTGCTTTTTTATTTAAAATTTTTTCTTGGAGTTTAATCGATATTTTTACTTCTACCAGAGAGTTTAATAAAGAGAACAGTATTGTAAATTTAAAAAATGTAGATCCCTTTATTGTCCCACGATGGGGAAATTCACTCTGTGCATTTAACCCATCCCCTTGGGGAGCAGTGGGCTGCCACTGTGCGGCTCCCGGGAAGCAGTGTGGGGTTAAGGGTCTTGCTCAAGGACCCATAGTGGATGCTGTGGGGCTCAAACCGAGTACTTGCAACCTTCTCAAAGCACAAGCGCACTGCTCTAATCACTAGACCAACACTTTCCACCACTTATACTCAGTTAAAGAATGTGAGTTCTTTAGACATCTCTACAATTTCAATCATAATAGATACGGAAATATAAACAACTAATGGAGCTAAAATGGCAGATGTCAAAAAATGTAAATCTACATCTGTTGCTACAATGCACTGAGCACTTGAAACCTAACATCAGGCGTTCTGCATTCTAGTTACCCATAATGGAAACAGTCTGTAGCTCTTCTCAAGATTTTTTTGTTTCCAAGGAGAATAGTTTTTGTTGTTGTTTTTATTAACATCCTGAATGCTTGAGCTGAATTCAATTGGACTTCCTCTCATGTTGCCCTCTACCTTAGCTCTTAGCGTTGTCATGTCCTGGATCTACAGCATCATTTTATTAAACGTGTGACAGGATAATGTTTCCCTCTGTTTTCCATCAGCTCATTTTTTAGAGTGTTTGAGGAGAAATGAGGAGACCAGCTGTCAGGGGTTTAAAAGTGAAATGTTTTCAGGATTTAAGCAGCTGAACACTTTGTGGGATTTATTTTTTTTTTCATAAAGCTCCAGATGTTTTCAGTGTGTGACAGATGTGGACAGCAGACGGGTCAGTTTTTAAGATGCAGGCATGCTGTTGTAATCCGCGCAAAATGTGGTTTGAGTTTGGGACGTAAACAAAACACTTCATGCTTGGTCTGGTTTGCCACCTCTTTAGATACTTCTACTTAAAAAAAAACTGCCCTTAGGTCACTTCATGCAATAATGAACACACAGGTCCCACACAGAAATGCACGGGTTTGTTCCTGATTCAGTGATTTCCTGTCTGCTTTTAAGGCAATGACCGCTACACCGGACTTTATGCAGAATTAAGACCTCACTAAGCTCTCCATAAACTCCATAAACTATCGTACCCATTTCCTAGAACCTTCTGTTGTGTAAAGACAATCCTGATTCTGCAGCAGTTTTACAAACTGCAACGTTGTTTCCTGTTTTCCCAGAAACACTCAGCAGCACTGGATTTAATAGAGAAACACTGGAAGGGCCTTAGAGATTAAGGTGATGGCAGAGAGGCCCTGCAAAGGTTTTGTGCTGATCATCAATGGCAAATGTATTTATGTATATAGGTTTACTCTTTTACATAAATGTTATTACCTTTATTTTATTGCCTTTCTTATTTGCTAACAAAGCAAATTCTTAGTGACAATAAATATGACTGGGGTTTTGTTTTTACCATTTTACTTTTTTTTTCACATTTTTACACATATCAGCAGACCAAATATCAGAATGTAGAATTCTCATCCATCTACTTTTATTGGAATAAAGAAAATGAATACAGAAAGTTAGGAGTGGTGGCCTAGTGGTAAGTGTGCAGGGCATTTGGGTCATGTCTCCTTGAACCCCAGTCAGCCTCAGCAGATGGTCACTCACACTCAGTCTGGTTCTGCTGGAGGTTTCTTCCTGTTAAAAGGGAGTCTTTCCTCTCCCCTGTCGCTACAAGCATGCTTAGTGTGAGGGATTGTATTTGAGTCAATAAGTCGATGCAATCAACTGGTTTTCCTTGGATAGAAAACTTTGTATCAATTTTACTGTATGATCTGGTTGAACTAAAGTGCCTTGAGATGACATGTGTTGTGAATTTGGTGCTATATAAATAAACTGAATTGAATTGAATTGAGATGCTGCAAGGTCATGGTTTCAAAGCCAACACTGTCACTTTGGGTCCCTGAGCAGGACCCCAAACCAAAAAAGTTCACCAGGTGTTAGAAGCTGCTCCCTAAGGCAAAGCTTGTCTGCAGAAGACAAATGCTGGTGTAATGTACAAAATCTGTGATTGTAATTTTGTGATGTGGACGTTGCACATACAAATATTGTGATGATAATTGCTACTGTAGTACATATATTGATTTCCTCTGCAAGAAATCTCCATTTATAAAGGAGGGATTCTTGATGCTAAATATTGAGAATATTGTATCATGTTTCAGCCTCACATCATGTCATATAACAGAAAATATATCTCATTGTGGCATTTAGTAGAAAATCATAATTTTGGTAATCATAATAAACCTAAACAATTATCAATTTAAAACACAAATACAACTTGTTTGAAATCTTTTTTTTTCCTGCAATTACATTTCCGCACTTCGTTTAAAACGTTGTGATAAAACTATTCAAAGATTGTTGAATTTTTCTTGCTGACAGTGTGCTTCTGTTGGCGTCAGAAGATATTCAGACGGTATATTGCCGTCAGTTGTCAGGTTTGCCTGAGAGCAGAAGGACTCTTAACTCTTTATCCACTGACAAACACAAAAGCAGGAGTCAGAAAGACACGGTCTGAACATTGTTTGTCTCGAATCTGCCTCCATCTGCAACCAAATCTGGCACAGCAGCTGCAGCACCGAGGTGATCACCTACTGTCTCCATAACAACGCAGAGAGCCGACGTGGTAGACAGCCTGCGATCCGGTCCTGTTGGTGTCTCCGATCACTATCTGGCTGACTGGAAGGTGATCTTTGTAGGAGAGGAGGCCTGTGTCATTAGCCCTAAAACACAGGGAAATAGATGCTTTAAAAAAACAGCGGACTGAGCTTCTTCATGCTGGTCTTAATAAAGTTGTATATTCTTTTACAATCACAGAATGTAAAGAGATAAATCTCCCATAATGTAGACAAGCGCCTGTAAAAATATAGAAACTATTCTGGGATCAGAGAAGCTTTGGAGAGGATTACCATGCTGTGAACAACAGCATGCAGCTCCTACAGCCCAGCTTCTTAGATTCACCTTTCACTCCAATCAACACACAGAAATTATGATTAGCTTTCATTTCTATATCACATAATAATTATAATTCAGATGCGTACTTCATTATGTCAGGCTTTTGCTGTAATTAATTATTTTAAAGGAAATGCTGTCAAATGAAAATGTTAATGAAATTTCTCATATCAAAAACACTAAATGAGCTGCTACAAGTGATGAGATGAGAAGGCATAATAACTGCTGCTTAACAGGGGATTTTCTCTTCATTACTTTTAAGAAACAAAATGTAAAAAATGTTCAGCGGATGTGGGGCTAAAAAGGTTGGTTTTAATGTGATTTCTGCTGAGCATGTTAGCACTTCAACTGCTAATTAGCCAAATGGTGAAGTTTTACCGGTGCAATTTATTTTATTTCATTTTTTCTGGGCAGCAGCTTAGTTCACTTCATGACCACACCACAGACTTTAGTTAGCTTTTATTTTCTTGCTATTAAGATTTGGAATTGCTGCTAATCACAGAATATGGATAAAATAACCTCATGAACTTCTGTGTGTTGATATCAAGGTCATTACAAATTTTAGATTCATTATTTTGGGATTTTATTGGTTTGACTTATTTAACTTTACTCATAGTTTTCCAATTATACCCAATTTTCATCGCAACACACTTTAAAAGACAAAAAGATTCAATTATTTTCTGATTATCTTAAATTAACTGAAAATACCATGAAAAGTTTATTACAGTAGTTCTCAAAATGTTCCCTTCCCTGGAATGAATTCAGAGAATGTTAAAAACATTGTAGGTGGATAAAGCCATTTAGTATCAAACAATTATCCTTTTTCTCTCTAAATCGTAATAATTAATAAGAGAAATACAAAAAATCTCCCAGAATAAAGGATTAGATAACCTGGGGATTTCTAAATATTGGTTTACAGTTGATGTAATAGTAAGCTGTCTTCACTGTACAGATTTTTATTTTAGTAATGTTTTTATATTTAGCGATAAAACCCCTCACTCATAATGGAGTCTGAGAAAGTGGGTAAGCATATTTTAGATGCACAACATAAAGACACTTAAATAAGGTCTACATGGTCCAATCACCAGCAGAAAGCCATTTAGTCCTCCAGAAGGTTTAAAACATCTGGAACAAAGTTATTTGGAGAGATGGGACAACAATTAAAATGCTAATTTCCTGAGAAGTCATGAAGATATAAGATGAAATGTGCATCTTTTCTCTGGTGAACCATGCAGATGGGTTGCTGATGATTTCTGCTTGTATTATTACTAATTGAAGATGGAACTTTCTGGCACATTGATGGCAAAAATAATATTACAGGAACCACTGGGGTAAAATGTGTTTTCATCAGGTTGGAAGCTGCTCATGAGACTTTGTTGGACTGTCCAACATGACAATGATCCTGAAAGACAAGACCAAGTCGACCTGTTTTTGACTACAGCGAGGCAGGTAACGGTTCTGGCCACCTCTGGCTCCTGACCTCAATGTGACTGAGCCACTCTGGGGGAATCTCAGACCTCAGGTTCATGCAAGACAACCCAAGTATTTATAGGAACTGAAAGCTTTTTCTAAAAAAAAGTTTTAGCATTGGAGAAAATAACCGAGCTCATCTACAGCTAATAAAAAACACTTTTCAAGCTCTCACGGATGTTTCACTGTTAAGAAACTAGGTAATATAAATCTTTGAGGAGTTTACCTAAGTATCAGCTTGGCATTATGATTTTAAAACAGCAAACATTATTTTCTACATACATTGATTTCCAGAGATAGTGAGCATTAGTAGAACAATAACAGGGTTCCTACAGCATAAGGAGAGTTAAATTCAAGACTTTTTAATGCCACTTGAAATAAAAATTTAAGACCAAATTCACAAAAAACACAACTTAACCCAAAGGTTTATTTTAACATAAACCCCTGCACTGTTTCAAATTTTGAAAAGCTTCCCAAACAGGAAGAAAACTAAAAACACACAAATGACAGATATATTTTAACAATTATTTAACTGAATTCACAAACTTTTTTTTAGCAGGGATCAAATCAGTTTTAAAGCCACAACATAACCAGTGCTAAGTCTTCTTTGCAGCTATTTTTCTTTCTATCGTTTTCTTAGTATGTTTGATTTGGTGATAAGTGGAGGCGTTGCAGAGACAAGGGTGGAACAAAACTGAGAAATACCGGCTCTTTCTCGGTAACACGATTTTGACGCTTTGTATTTCGCGCATCGCATGTGACTCTAGTGCCTTAATTCCCATCGTTCCGAGCTTGAATGACTTCTTGCAAAAAATCCACTGTGCCTCATGTATTTTCCCTGGTTTTAGCCATGGAGGAAACTCTTGGCTGGAGCCAATTTTGGTTACATTTACACTTGCTCATATTTTCCAGACAAAAAGTTAATGGCACATCTCCCAAATGTCCCGGCCGCAACAACGATTTTATTGGTTTCGCTATTGGGACGGAACCAATAATGGTGAGCCGTTATTTTTTTTAAATAAAAAAAAAATTGTCAATTTTAACGTTTTATTTAGATTACAAAAATAAATCGTAATAAAAATTATCCTATTAATGATGTTTTAAAAATTAAGACCTACAAAAGACTGATTTAAGACATTTTAATACCAATTAAGGCCTTAGTTTTATTTTGAAGAATTCAACGCCTTTTAAGACTTTTTAAGGACCCGCGGGAACCCTGGATAAGCTCCGTATTTATTCTCTGAACAACACTAAAAAAATCAGAATTACATCATGGTATGTAAATGTATTAGCACACCTGAAAATATAATTTAGTCTGATTAAGTTATATCTGGTCCAATTTGATTGTGGTGTATTAGCTGATCATATAACAGCTGGTTGTAAAGAGTGTACATCTAATGTAGGCCAGCTGTTTTCATGGATACCTTAGTGTGACACCAAGCTTCAATGCTGCATCTGTTCATCATGTTAAAATTTAATTTTCTTCAATCTGCCTTTTTGGTTTTATTCTTTGTTCTGCACACATAAGCAAGACCCAGTCTAATCTTATATAGGAGAAACTTTTTTTAGATCAGCCAAACAGATGTAATGTTCAAAATGTGGTTCAAGATATAATATTTTTGCTGCTGTAAAAAACAGATTTTCCCTATTTTGGGACAATTAAGGGATTTTCTATTCTATTCTAATTAAAAATAAATGTACAAAATATATTATTTGCTTATTATGTAATTTTCTTTCTAAGCTCTTTGGTAAATGTCATGGTGTCAAGAAACACTATAAGTACTAAAGCAGCAACCATTCATACAAATATTCCAACAAAGCTGTAATAATTATCTGCTGAGCTGAAATCAAACATTTAAAACATAAAAAATTGAACAGAAAACAAACTCGCACCAAAAGATGCTGAATCGCAGAGGCCGTCATTTGATTATTGTGTTGGATATAACGAAGCATGACATAAAATATGAGTTCATTATCAGGGTTGAAATGAGAATAATCAATAAATAATTAGTTGGTAAATAAATAAAATCATTAAGAACCTAATAAATAAGAAATGAACCACATCAAAGAAAGATTATTTTTTCCCCCCTCAAAGCCTCCTTTCTCTGCTCAAATGTATTTGCATAAATCCCAGTTTTCTCAGACGTGTCATAATAATGAAGTAGGAGTAGGAGACACAACTATGTTATTTCATAAAGAATAACCTACCCTCTTTTGTGCTAAAAACAAAGCAAAGAGGCATGCAGCCCTTTTCCTGTCAGTTGGTAAAGTCCACAAGCTTTGATCATGGCAGTGTTTCACATAACAACATGCTTCTTAAGTCAGTTAAGACATATTGTAAGGGGGAAAAAAATGGAGCTGTGGAAAGACAAGACACCACTGTGTTTCCCTTTTTGAAGTGTGGGATTTATTTACATACAGTAGAATATTTCTATAAAATATTTGTCTGGAAATTTGTTAAACGCGGTGAGTGACATAAAGATTGTGCATATATATAATAGATTTAACTGTAAATCAAAAAATAAAAAGAAATGCACATTTCATACCAACTGTCTGTATCAGCATCACAGTTGCAAAAGTAATTCATATCCACGCAGTTCTCCTCCAGGCTGCAGGAACATTGCTGTACTCCAGGAAGGAAGCCTCCCCAGTAACTCCTTTTGTCTCCATCACGGTCCAGCCACCAGGACAGCGGACTTCCATCTGCAACACAAACACAGTCAGTCAGGGCATCTTTCTGATTCACATTTCCTGCATCTACTTATCATAAGAAAAGCTATTTTTGATGGGCATCAAATACCAAACAGACAGATATATTTCACTAAAGTACTCTCTACCTTTGGAGGCTTCATCACAGATGCTTAATCTTTTAGATTATCATCTAAAGAAGTTATTGCAGTTATTGCTTCTTTTGTTGTTATGGAATAACCTACAATTTGTACAATTTAGCATTTTAGATTTTTTGGATCATTTGATCATTTTTAATATAAATAGAGCAACATAAATTACCCCAGAGCCTCTTGGAAATACTTTGAATATGCAGTGCCTGGCTTTGATTTTTAACCTACATATCTTTTGCAAACTTACAGTACCTTAATGAAGAGGCAGCTTTATACCATTGTTAAAGAAAATCTGGTGTTTTTCAATGCTATACTATTCAAGCCATAGTATTTTGGTCTGGTCTTTTAAGTCAGACACGCTTTTTATTTCTAAAACTAGGCTTAAAACGTAACTTTTAGCAAAGTTAGAGGCTCGGGTTATCCTTATCTATCTCTGTAGTTATGCTGTGATGGGATTAGACTGCTGGAAGACGTAAAGACAACTTTTCTTCATTCTTTTAGAAGTTCCTCTAAAGAATGCACTAGCAGCATTCATTACTGACATTAACTTTATTTTTCTGATATTTCGATTTTCTTTCCGAAGAAGTTCAATGTAACCTTTTGTTAAGCTTTGACAAAATCCTGAAGGGGGCCTTAGGTAGATCCATTCCACTAAACAGCTCCATGTTTTGCTCTGAGGATGATATACTTGATTCTCTCTTTCTGGGATTTGCCCTTTCTCTGTCCAACACACAGAAATTGTAAGATCTATTACTGCATCTAACAGCATGCACTCTATTTCTCATCCTATGGATTTATTGCTAGCTAAGAGTATATGTTGTCTGTGTTTCTCTAATAGATTAAGTTACCCATGGAGCAAATGCTTACGTTAATGATTTACATTTTCCAATGCTTTAGAAAGTACTTGCAAAAAATGTGGTTGGGAATCGGTGCAACATAAATAAACTTAATTGGACTGACTTTACATAAAAACTTTTTCTGGGCTGTTTCAGAGGCATTATTGTTATTATGAAAAAGAAAATATACATTCAGGTGAGGGTAGAACACAGAAGGCCCGATTAACTGCATGGACATATGTCTTATGTGTTTGAATTTAGTTTCTTTATAAAATAGTACCACAAAGTAATATTAAAAGCACTAATATTTTTATATTAATTTCAAAATTTGTTCGGAATTGAACTAACTAGTTAAAACCATTTTATGGGTGCACTCCAGCACGGATCTGGGACACCCAGAAAAGGCTGCCCCTTTATCGCATGAACAAATAGATCTAACACACAAGTTCTCCTTTTAACCACCATAACCATTTTAACACACCCACAATATAATTCTGTATAAAAAGACAAACATTTCTCAGCAGATATGACAAAGTGAACTACTTTTCCATGAATTTATCCATTAACCAAATGAGCCATTTCCTTCAGCTCCCAGCCAATTGACAGTAAAGCTTTAGCTGTGCTGTTAAATCATAACTTATCACGCTCACTAAAGTGTTAGGGGGGTCCAGCTTCAATCATCCATCACACAATGTGACCCTGCATTGCACAGAGGCCAGCCAGCAGAGAGAAGCCCATTAAGCTACGTGTCACAATACATAACCAGGTGTCACCCGCTGCAGTGCTCACCTCCTGCAGATATTACATTCCATTAAGCAAAGCTTTGTGTAGGGATGCACATGCCATAGAAGAGACTGCGACTGGAAAGAATACCCACTCTGTCTGTATTAGAAGAAAACTAGAGAGAGACTCTAATCCACACAGTACTTGATCTACCAAAACTGTCCAATCTAACCAGCAACATTTGCATCACAAAAGTCTGCCCTGCCTTTTCAAACAAATATCCATCTGCTTTTCTTCCAAACATCGTTCGAACCGCAAACAGCCTCGCAAATAAGAAAAGGCACCGATCAATAGTTCCTGTAGGGCAGGTCGACCTCCCGCTCAAATTGGCTCATATTGACACAACTTATTCTCATCAAGAAGGCAAATGTGTCTTCCTGTTTCACTGATGCATGATGCCCCACAGGCAGACCCAACATTCAGCACAAACACAGCACCTAAATGTTTAGAATACAAAGCACAAGGGAGGCTCTTATTCTGAAGAGCTAATTAAAACCAAAACAATGCTTTCTTTATTATTAATTTACACCGTGTTCACCTCCAGCAAAACATTTGCTGCTTAACATTAAATTTGAAAAATGATCAAGAATATGTTTAGAGAAATGCAACAAAATTGGTTTATTTCAGACATTTTCTCTACAGGCACTGCTGGATGACGAGGGTAGCGTCACCCTCCTGCTGCGTGACCCCAATCTCTGCCGAGATGCTCCAACAACAAACAGCCCTCTAAACGTGCTGGTGTTTGCCAGGGTTACTTCATTTACATCAGGAAGTCGCAGAAAAAGGGGCCAATAAAGCAAACATCTGGAATGCAGTCACTTAAATCAGTGTAATAATTCTATTGATTACTTCTGGGTAAAGTTTTGAGGTTTACTAAGTAAGAAGCCTCACTTTGTTGTAATCAAATGAATACAACAAATCAAATTTGTTAAATGTCCAACTATTAGGATAGTAAAAAAAGGTTTAACCTTTAAAAAAAATATTAACAGCATCATATAACAATTTGTCTAACTTTAAACACAAACATAAGCGTCACAGTAACAGCTCAGAGTTTTTATCTGTATCCAATTCTGATGAACAATGTTGTTTCTCTATAAGATTGACTATTGAAGATCATATTATAAATCTGCTCTGTCGGCACCGTTTCTGTCTTTGCTTGCCATCATATCACTAAATCCCACCAGTTGGGTTTGTATGAAGGTAGATTTGTTCCTTTATCATTCAATCAAATAAAAGTTAGCTTCAATGAAAAAAATTATTTTCAATTAAAAAACCTTCACTTCAATGAAAAAAATTCAGAAATCAAAGAAAAAAGTATTTGAATGCATTTGAATGCTAAAATATATTTGAGACTCTGCTTTTCTTTGATTGAAAATTTTATTTGATAGCAGTGGAGTCTTTTTTGTTTAAAGCAACTTTTTTAATTGAAGTAACATTGTTTTTTGATTGGACCATTTAATGGGTAGGACATTTGTGTCTTTATAACTCAATCAAAAAAGAAGTTGGTTTAAACAAACAAACAACAGAATCAATAAAAAAGTAACTTCAATGAAAAGATAAACATTTTCAATCATAGAAAATTGTTTTTGAATGCAAATAAAATATTTAAGACTCCAAAAATTGCATTTGAATACTTTTTTTATTATTGAAAATGTTCTGTTGGGTTGAAGTAATCTATTTTGTGTTTGGGCCATACATGGGTAGGACATTTGTGTCTTAATCATTTAATTCCCAAAAAGTTGTTTCAATCAAAAAAAAAAAAAATCAATCAAAGAAAAAAACTTTGCAAATGCAAAAAAGAGTATTGAATGAATGTTTTTGAAGTGAAAAAAAAAAAAAAAATCGCTTTTTTTTTTTTAAGTGCAAAGTTTTGAAGTTCAAATTTTTGTGATTGAATAATTTTGACACAAACATTCCACAGCAGGCGGATGCTTCTCTATTGTTCAGACATGTTTGATTGACAAGTGTGTACATCAAGGACATCTTTCTGAGGAAGTCATGGTCGCCACTGGCCAGCAAGCTTTTTGCCAGTGTTAACAAGTCGAGCTACGTTTTCCCGTCATATAGGATTTCCCCTGCATCTCCGCACGGCGTAGGCGGCACAATTCACTGTGCAAGCGACAGAAAACACGCATGCTTGCTAAATGAGCTCGCGCCACAGGGGAACTACGGAGAGCGAGAACGATCAAATGTTAGCCTATATGGAGAAAGGAAGAAATCGGGATGGATGGATGGATGCATGGATAGATAGATGTTGCAGTATCTATAACAACCCAATCACACAGGATTTCAAAATTAAACATTCCCAGTTATTAATTTCATACATTCACCAGATCTGAAAGGCCTGTTAAAAAACTTTGCACCCATGAGTAGAGGTACTGTAATGCAGCCTGATGATATTTACACCGCATCAGATAACGTTCCTCCCATGTTAGACGGGGGGAACGGTATCTGACAAGCCTATAAACCCTGTCACATAATGTTCCCCCTATATAACATGAGTGGAATAGTATCTGATGCAGTGTAAATATCAGGATGTATTAGCTCTACTCTACTCTGTCAATTAAACATGTCTGACAAATAGAGAAGCACCCGCCAACTGCGGAACGTTTGTGTCAAGATTATTCATTCAAAAAAATTTGAACTTCACAACTTTTTGCACTTCAAAAAAACAAAAAACAACGGAAAACACATTCTCTTCTATCTAGAAACAAATCTACCTTCATAGATTTCTAGCTTTCTACTGAGGTGGATTAGCAGTAGAATACAGAGAGGGTGACTTAACCTATTTCCTAAGTCCATAGTAGAAACAATTCTGGTCACACAAAACAATAGACTCTCTTTTGAAGTTTTTAAAGGATGTTTTTTTTCTCGTCTTGGGGTAAATTGTATTTGTAAAACATCAGTTATTTTTTCTGTTTAATCAAACAGGTCTCTCTTGAAAATAAGCTCTTTGATCCTAAGAGACTGCCTTAAATGAAAATAAATGAAGCATTTTTGAATTTATTAAACTAAATTAGATTTATTCAGGTAATCTTTATCCAATTAAAAGATTTGTTGATCTAAATTAATGAGGTGTTTGAAGAAAAGCAAAAACAGAAAAATACCCATTTTATGAATAAATAAAAATTTCAAAGGCTAATATTTCATATCCTGAAAATGTCTTTTATATGGTGTAGCAGCAGCGGCGCTATCCAGCTGGCAGTTAGATATCAGGGAATGTATCACCATAAGAAAACTATTCCTAGAAACGAGTGAAAACAACAAGTAACACAGGAGGAGGACACCAAGACAAGAAGCAATTATCCCACAGTTGGAAGTGGCTTTTTTTATGTTGTCACATTGAAAGCAGTTACTTCTAAGCAAAGCAAACACTCCTTATTGTAGCTCCTGTATACAGACAAAAAACAATGAGCTTAAAACAGACCGATTTGAATGTTAATGAATTCACTGAAGGTTCGACGGAACAGAGGAGTCAGGAAAGACATGTTCTACAGCTAAACGCCACAACTGGAGGTGAACTTCAGATGTTCTTGGCACACGCCTACATCTGCAATCCCAGAGGGTTTGTTTTTTTATAACAGCTGCTGTTGTTGTCATTTTCCTGTGAATTTGCATGAAAGGTGCCATTTTGTCTTAAAATTATTAGAAAATGCGGCACACTCTGCTTCTCATCAAAAGGACGACTGTCTGTCTCCACAGTCAATGTTAGAACAAAGGTTCACTTGACTTTATCCACTGTGGATGCTACGCCACCAAAGACGAGCATTAAAAATGCAGCCTCTGTCTGAAAGTGTTCATGCGGCTGTAAAATAGGCTGTTTCAAATCTCTCTTTGATGTTGGATGCGATAATGAACTCGTTTATTTGCATACACATGGTGCATGGGGACAGCAGAAACTGGGACTTCATGAATGTTTTATGATTTAAGAGAAAATGTTTAGATGTTTGGGAGCAAAGGTGCCGGCACTGTTCCAGATGAACGAGTACAAAAAGACTGCAGCTAGCCTCAATGTTTTATTGTAATGTAACGACAGGAGAGAACAAGCGTGTGGGAGGGCCTCTGAAAAGACAACAACTCCCGACTGTGGTGAAGCACAGAACACTCAGAAAGCACAGTTGCAAGAAATTAAAAGGTGCAGCTTTGAGTCTAAAGCCAAGTTTGTGCTGACTGCTTCTGGATGTTCCACATTTCGCTTCCTCCATAAGAGTTTATTGGTTTTCTAGGAAATTAGAGATTTGAAAAACTAACTTAATGTTGTTTTTTCTGCTTTAATTAGTAGTCTTGATTAATGTATTTATGTATGAGGGACTTGGGCTGATTTTTTGTTAATCTTTTTCCTTCTTTGCTTTTTATTTGCTCTTTAGATTTCAGTTCAACTTCTCTTCCAATATCAGTTAAGCTCGAACTTTTAATGTAAATAATCCTTTAATGCCACTAAAAGTCAGAGGGGGAACATGTAAGACCTTATCGAACTGCAGAGCTCTTTCTACTATCTCCCAGATGTCAAATGCTTTGCAGCAAATTCAAAGAGACGACTTATAGTGCTGCTTACCTCTTTTTCAAGACTCCTGAATCAAATTAACAGCAGTACAGCTACCATGCCCAGAGTAAACACCCTACCCTGGACAGATTTATTCGTCTTCTGCCTTTTTGTAATAGTATTAGATTCTCAAATACATTTCTATATCAGACAGAATTATTCAAAGTAATGACACGTACAGTTTTCAAATGATTTCATTCAGTAAGTAAAAAAGCCATCCTATCCCACCCTCCCCATAAATGTAATTGACCCATCAACAGCTGCTGCCATGAATTAAAGATACCTTACAACAAGTATCTCATATCAATGTGAGGGGATTCTGACCCACAACACTTTTATGAATTGTTTTAATTAAGCTGCGTTGCAGGTTGTTCAAGCATAAACAGTCTGTCTACGGCCACGCCGCAGCAGCTCCATGGGCTTTAATTCCAGACTGTTCCAAACCAAAGGTTTGGAGCTGGTGCGCTTCGGATCATCACCCTGCTGCCTAATGAATGGTTACATATTCTCCTTCTGGCTTTTTAAAAATAAATTCATGGCTTAATCCTGTACACAATGCAGTGACACCTCAGAGACACGATGCAAGTGAATGTCTACTGTCGCTGCATGCTCATCCAAGAGGAGGGAATCCCGCAAAGTCAATGACTCACTGCAATCAGTGTGGTTTCCTTAAATAGAAAACCTTCCACCAATCTGTCTGTATGATCTGATTGAATTGTTTTTCTAAAGTGCCTTGAGATGTCACGTGTTGTGAGTTAGCACTGTATAAATAAAATCGAAATTTAACACAACTGAGAAGGACTCCTGGATAGGTGTCAAAAGGTCTTAAAAAACTGAGCAAAAGTCTGGTTGCCTTCCAATCTCAGCCTGTTTTGTGGCAGCCATGACCCCGGATGACTGAGAATTTACACAGGCAGACTGCTGGGAGTTTTCTCAGTTTCAAACTTGGCAGTTCTGAATTCGAAATTTAAATTGCACAACTGCTTGATCAAACATGCAGTGTCAAAAATCTTAAAAAAGAAAATAACACCACACAGAAAACAAGGGTACTTTGGATCAACTTAAAAAAATTACTGTAATTTGTTGCACTTAACTTTTTTTATTTCCCCGAATTAAATTTAGGAGATGGTTGAAAGTGTAAATTTTGATTCATTAGAAATATGTTTTTACCTTCAGAAAAAGAAAGAAACGGCATTCATAAAAAGTAAAACTGTAACTTTTAAAGTCATGAACATGTTCTATTCTTTGTTACAACTGTATTTTTTCAATTTGGAAAAAAATATATATATACCATTACATATAAGTATACATTAACCTTGGAATAAAGTGGTTACAAAGATTCCAAACTTTATTTATTTCAAAGAGTAAATACATTTGTCCACCTATATTTATTGAGCACAGACACAGGATTTATAATTCCTGGTAACTTAAGCCGGGCATACACTGTATGATATTTTCAATCGTAGCACGCAGCTACAGCTCACACTGTACAACAAAACTACAGGGTTTAAATGTCACACCTGCTCAAACTGTACGTCTAAAATCCACGTCAGATTCAGCTCCGCAGTGAGATGGCNTAGCACGCAGCTACAGCTCACACTGTACAACAAAACTACAGGGTTTAAATGTCACACCTGCTCAAACTGTACGTCTAAAATCCACGTCAGATTCAGCTCCGCAGTGAGATGGCACTACTCTGACTCCACTATCCGAAAACCAAACAAGTAGAAGAAGAAAAAGAGTTGATACCTCCTGTTAAATACGTATGAAGGTCACTAGAGTGAAACACGCTGCCTTTGCAATTTGTGCACTTTTGTGTTCTGAAAGCCCTATAAAGAAAAGGCGACGGCGTATTTGGACAAAGACATGGCTGAGCAAACATGGCTACTACGGTCTGTCAATTTTACAGAGAGAACTCCATTTCACTTGCACCCCCGCCATGCTTCTGTGTTTTCGTCTGAGAGGAAGAAGAAGAATCCTTGTTTGCTCATGCGCACTGAGCGATTTGCTGAATTTCAAACATGTGACCCCCTTTACACTACACGAAGCACCATCAGGCTGAAAGTTGGTCTGATCGAAACATTCTCACACAAATGGAAAATTGGCCAAAAAAGGGGCAAAAAACGTACAGTGTATGGCCGGCTTTAGAGATGGAAATCTAAAGTTGTAAAGAACCTGAAATATCTCAGAGTTCTTAAAAGTGTCTTTATGTGATATCTGAGACATTTCAGTCAATGACTAAAATGCCTTCCTATCATAAACATTTCTATTCTGACACTTAGTTGACTGCATTAGTTGTAACGGCAACCTTGCTCATGATAGGTGCTGTTCACACCTATTTTAAATTAGTCAGGTAATGAGGTCACATTCATGTGAGTCACAGCATGTGAAAGGATAAACCCCTACTGACACTATTACCTTTGACTTGAAGCAGATATATATTTGGAAAGTAATTGTTTCAGTTTTTTTTATTTCCATGATAAGGGAATTTTAATCACATTTTTTAAGTTAATCAAATTACATTGGCATTTCACTTCTTTCAGTGCAACATAAAGGCAAGTCCAGTCAGACAAAAGTGTTAACAACAATTCTTAGAACTGTTAGCTGAAAACAACATGGTTCAGCTCTGAAATGTGGAAGTTAGATTACTGTAAGGAGTCCAGAGGCCTCCTTGAATTTGCATGCGTGTTCTCCAGCCTCAACAAAGCTTAACTCGCCCAATCAATTTTAGTTCCTACACACGCCCCCGAGATGCGGATGATATTACATAATGTAAGAGGCCTCGTTCAGCAGAATATAACTTCCTTTCAGCTAAAAGAATCTGAGGAAGACTCTCAAGAGAGGTGGCAAAGTGATGAGGTGGCAACCAACCTTCATTATTCTATATTAATGTCGCCGAATGTCTGTGTACAGTCTTGGTGGTGGTTCACGACTAAAGTGTTTACATGCAACCTTTAAGTGTCTGCTCAGAATCAGCTGAACATAATTTTTCACACCACTCCACAAGGGACTTGTTATTGTGTGCATCCTGTTTTTATCATCATTCATCCTGCATTGAGCATTGTGTGACCCTCTTGCTTTTTTTTGCTATATCCTACATGTTAAGATATCTAATACTGATAATTAAAAGACCACAGGAAATGCATAGATTTAAAGGGAACACTTCCCAGAGGAGATAACCTACCCTTAGTGTTGAAGAGACGGGACTTCCTGCAGTTGTAGACTACTTCTTGTTGACACTGCTCTGACCTAGCCACAATGGCGCGGAGTTGGTCGGCTGATGCGTTGTAGTTGAACTTCATGATGTGAGGTCTCTGAGGAGAGGACTTCTGGACTTTTACAGGAGCAGTGCTGTTGTGAGACAGCACCGTCCACACCTTCTTTTCTGTAAGAAAAATCAGGATCTGTCAGCATGAAGTCTGCATACATCTTCTCTGAAATGATCAAAACTGAAAGCAGATATTAGATGCAATGCATAACAATCAGTGAATCAGACATTCCTGCTTCAGATCATCTAAAAATAAGTCAACATATCAACCATTAAGTGTATTAACCATTACTTTGAGTTGGTAAATAAGATGATTTGCCAATGGAATTAGTGTTTTTACTCTTAAAGTAAGATAATTTCTTCCTCTTAAAAGGGAGTTTTTCCTCTCCATTGTCGCTACAAGCATGCTTAGTGTGAGGGATTGTATTTGAGTCAATGCAATCAACTGGTTTTCCTTAGATAGAAAACTTTGAATCAATTTGACTGGATGATCTGGTTGAACTGTAAAGTGCCTTGAGATGACTTGTGTTGTGAATTTGGCGCTTTTTTTTCTTATTTTAAATGTAAATGATCTTGTTCCATTGGCGAAGTGTCTCACCTTCTTAATTCAAGAGCAAATGCACTTATTTAAATAAAAAATGACTTATTTACTTGAACTGTAAAGTGCCTTGAGATGACTTGTGTTGTGAATTGGCGCTATATAAGTAAACTGAATTAATTGAACTTATTTAGATTTCCAGTTTTTGCAGTATAAGGATATGCTTTTGAACTGGATCTTTTTTTTGTAATAGCTCAAAGCTTTGGGACTCTATTCAACAAATTTACCAGAATTGTGTCTCATCCCTTATAACAGAACTGCTGCTCCTGGGTCTAAGAATCAGGTCCATGGTACACACTGAGTTTTATTTTAGTTTATTTTACTTACTTTCATGTCAGCTTTTTAGGATGTATTCAGTGATTTTGTTTTACAGTTTTATCACCAGTTCTTCTTAAATGTTTAAGCCCTGTTCACCTTGTTTTCAGCCTTTGCTATTTCCTGTCTACCACTGCTTATTATACTGTCAGTTTACTTTCACCTTTCACTGGTGAATACTGGTTCCATGCCCCAAATCTCTACGGGCACCATGTGACGTTTTATCTGTTCAGCCACGCAAACACCCATGATCTGTTGGTAAGTCTTTTCTTTTTAAATATTAAACTTCCAACTCACCATGTGGCCACTGCCTGTTCATCTGCACTTGGGTGCTATTCCACCCTCCCCATTCCTGACAGCTTAGGAGGTTTTCAAAGAAATATTACTGCAATATTTTACTTTTTTTCCTATGACACCTTATAAGGTAGTTGATTCCCTCCAGCACAACACTCAGAGACTATGATGTTTTAGCCCCCTGCTTCATGGAAAGGAGGGCTTTCTATGTCTTGTGCCTTTAACTCCTTTTAGTCATTATGATGTATTATTTGACATTAGTTTCATTACACCACAGGTAATGTGTCCTGAGTGAATTTTCAAACTGTAATAAAATTCTTCAGGCAGATTTTATAGAAATGGTTTCTTTTTATGTGACTGCCCCTTTGACCAATGTCACAACAGAATATGTTGCCACTGTGGATGAGGAGTCTCTCTCCAGCTTAGGCCAGGATTTTTAGAAGGTCTCTTTGCTTTTCTTTCTGGTGTTAACACACATCACATAAATATCTGGGACACAGAACAGGTCTCCTTCCTGAACACTATGTCAGCTCCCGTCCTGTTTAAAATTTCATAAAATCATCTGAGAGATAATCAAGGCCCCTTCAGGCATCTAGAGATTATATCCATGGATATAGCTAACTAGAGACAGTGCATGATACTCTTCCTGATACCGTTGCTTGTGCTTTATTTTTCTGTCAATCAATGCAGCAGAGTGTGTGAGATGTTGGCTTAAATACACTCTCCGGACCCTGTTTTAGACTTAACCTAGTCTGAGAAGAGAATAGTTATCTTGAATCAACTTATTCTGCTTTGTGGTATTTGGAATTTTTGGTTTCAATGAAGGCGATATAAATAAGCAAATGTAACTGCAAAAACACGCAGGAAGTTAAACCATGGTTGATGACCTTATGAGGAAATAGGGCAGACATGCTTCTGAAATTGATGTTAATCTGTCCTAAAAGCTGCATAAAAACACATTTAATCATAAAGGAAGACCTAAAAGCATAAAAAAAACAACATAAAATTTCTTATTTAGTGAAGAAGTGGTGAATCTGATTGCCATCTAGGCTGAACCCAAAATAAATTAACAGCTATTGCTTGAAATATCCCAACTGAATTAATTTCACTTGTTTGGAATTTTTCATTTATTCATCATGCAGATTTGTAACAAGGAAACCCTCCATGTTGATGTATTTGTCACCTTGTGGGAACAATGTAAGGTCAGCTTAATTGGAATATGTTTTATTTTGGGCAGTTGGAGGTACTTGTGAGGACCAGTTGGCTGATTCCCACAAGGAAAGGGTTTCCTCCTGGGTTAGGGGTTGGGTTGGGTAAAAATTATTGTACAAATGTTAAGTTTCTGCAAACCTTGGTTGTAAAATATAATGTCTTTAAAGCTAAACTATGTAATAACTGAAGATTCTCTGTTTGCCCCAACCCCAGCCTGAATTTGAATCTGAGAGTCCCACACTGCAGCTGAGGACACTCTACCAATGGAGAACCCTGACATCATGCATCCGGTGCAATCCATCTGATGGACATATGTGCTGTAAAGTAAGGGGTTGAGGCTCCATTCCTGACTTTAGCATTAAAAATTAAAATGGAGTATGCAGTCATATGAATGATCTGTGGCTGAAATTTCGTTAAGATGAATTATTGACTGGCAAAAACAGGAATGCCGAAAAATCAAAAAATCCTGGATTAAAAATGCATCTAAGTCTTTGGAGCATGATGAGCATTTGCCTCCAGGCTCCTCCAGCAAAGGACATGCCATTTCTTATGCTTTTCTCCTGTCAGGTTTCAGCTAATATATGCAGTGAGTGATAAGTGCAATAGATCCTGCTAACCACCAGTGTTGGTTCACTGTGTAACTTGCAGAATAAACTTAACTTGGAAGAATGAAATAAAAAAATCCTTGGCATTTAGAGATGTACCCCAGAACTGAGTCTAAATCCTTACTTGTCCCGCTTTCCGAAAACGGGCCAAATTGTGCTTCGAAGAAACTCAAAATGTGACCTTACTAATCCGAAATTTACAAACTTTTAATCTCTTAGGTTTTCCACAGCTGTTTAGAGGTATCCTCTATCGTGGTTTTGGCATCTAACATGTTAAGCCCACAAAAATTATTTTGTCAATACAAATTAAACTAAAACAATTTTACTAATTTCAGTGGGGAAGAAGGGTCACAGCCTCTTTTATATGATGTTAGTAAACATCTGGTCTAACTTGTATTGAAACAATTGTCTATAAATATATTTCTTGAAAAGCATAAATGCGTAAAAAAAGAAATAATAAGCATCCATTAAAACGTTACCTCCATCCAATTCAGCTATCTTTTATGTCAACCGTTACATTATCGTATCATTAGGCTCCTGTGTAGATTTTTGTGGTATTTGCAAAGTGTTGTGTTGGATAGCCAAGCTGTTAGTGTTGACAGTGACATTTTACAAATCTGTCACTTTGCATCACTGAAAAGAAAATGGATACACGTTTCCAAGCAACAATCAGACGACCTTCTTTGTCCCCAATCTGAGAACATCTAATCCTCGGAAAATAACCTTTAGAATTCAGCCTACACTGCTGACTTACTCTCTGTGAACCCCTGACTCTCTCCCATTATAGCTCTGTACATTTGGACATAAATAGAAAGTTTGTTCAATAAAACCCGATAAGGAGTACCTTGTTCCACCATCGCCTCACGTCATTATTTGGATTGAATATTTGCCCAGCTTAAGAGAAAATCCCTCTCCACTTGTGATTATTCCCATCAGGTTGTGTGGCTTATAGTTATTTACATGTTTAATGGATTTCTTAATTGAGGTCAAGTTGAAGCATATCTGCTTTCGACCGTCTCTGTCTCATAAGTAGAAGACTTAAAGCACCAACTGTATGATAACACTGTGATGACATCATCAGTGCATTAACCTTGCAAAGGACAAAGCAGCTGGGAACGCTGTGACAGTTAAGTGATGAGTAGAGTCACCAGAGTGTCAAAACTCGCTATGTTCTGTCCTAAATGTACCAGAGACCAGTGCATCCCAGTCTGTCAAGTCTCACATCTCAGGAGGTTTAAAGCACTGCAGCTTGGAAAAGTATTCACACCCACTGGAACCTTTTAAAGGTTGGAGAAAACCACAAACCTGAAGGTTTGTATTAAAGAATTTAAAAGGGCTGAAACAATGAATCAGATTAATCGGTATCTAAAATAATGGTCAACTAATTTACTAATCGATTAAATTTTAACTGGAGTACAGAGACTCTAAAACATGCCTTTAGCTGACAGAGCAACCCACTTACTGCAGAAATTATATCAAGATTATATAAAATATATAAGCATTTTGCATTTAAGACTAAAAAAATGTTTCGTCTGTCACTATACTCTGTTCAAAAGATTGAGTTTCACCAGGTTTACTCTCATACAAAAGCCTCTTTTAAGGAATCTTTGGCTATCTGATTATAAATCGATTAATCTTAAAAATAATCGACAGCATAATCGATATGCAAAATAATTGTTCGTTGCAGCCCTAGAATTTAAGGTCATTTGCCACCATGTTGTAGTTTTTAGTTTTAGTTTTCACTTTGACTTCAATGAATCCCAGAACAATCCAGTTTGAAGAGACTGTATCTATATTTGATTTGCTTTAATCTAATCAGACAGCATCATTGTATTATAGGAAGGCAGCAGACAGCTCAGAGAGAAAAGTTGCAGACAATTTTAAAGCAGGTTTAGGTTACAAAGAAATATTTTAAGCTTTGCACACTCACAGAGCTCTGTTCAGTCAAAAGAGTTTGACAAAAATACGAAGAGTATTATTAAAATATAAATAAATAAATCAATGTCCATAGTAACTATGCTGCAGAGGACCAGAGCTCAGGTAGGAGAATCTGCTAACAGGACAACCGTTTAAGGTAAAAATCACTTTATAAAATAACAGTCATTGTTGAAATAGGTCTTAAGGTTCCAGTGTCTTGGTTTTTTACAAGCCAAAGCGATAAAACAGTTTTAACTGTACACAAAATATTAAGTTTTGACCATTGGGATAAAGTCTCGTCTTGAAATGTATAAATGGAAGCATCATGGGGTACTGCTATTTACCAGCAGGGAAAGGAAAAAAGGGGATTCCTAAAGAGATGGATGGGCCTTAATCTAGGAAAATCCTGGAAGGCAATCTATTAGAAGCAAATAAAGATTCGAAACGTTCAACTTTATCTTCTACCATCTGAGATAAAACATAATAATGTTCAAACTCCATCCATTCTGACCCTGTTTTAAAGAACAATGGGCAAAAATGTCCCTCAGCAGATGTGCAAAGCAGCTACAGAAATGCAGTTAGGCCCCAAATTATTCATAATCCTTTCATTTCAAATGTTCTTTCTGACGGGAAGTAATATACAATTCTGGAGTGGCTCCAGCCAGAGTGCCAACTTGAATCTGAGAGGGAATCTGTTGAGGAAACTAAAGATTAGGGTGATGGACATGTAGCCTTCCAACCTCAAAGCTGATCAGTGAAGACGAAATGTGAAAATACCAGGTGAGATGTATAAAAACCTGCTCAGCCATAATTGATGTCTTTAATAGCTATAGTTCTCACTGATTACTGTTTCAAAATAATCAAACAAAAATGTACAATATAGTACTAAAGCAGTTTGTTTCAGGATCTTGAGTGTGTGCTATGAAAACGTGGACCAACTTCAAACTCTGTCATCACACTCCTGTCCCACCAGCAGCCAGAGAGAGGAACCTTTGAGTTCAGATTCCCTAACGACTGATCTGTAAAGCTGAACCGGTTGATAGTCAGGTTGTTGTATTTTTCCCTACCCATAAAAAAAACAGAATCATTGCTGCACTAGTGTGCGATGTGGCTACTGGTGGGACAGAGCAACATCTAGGTCATTCTGAAAGTTGGCACAGTAAGAACGTTGCCACCCAGGATAATGAAAGAAAGCTGAAAGAAATAAGGGCTGAGTTTATTAGCATACATTAGAGGATATATGCTAGTAGAGATTCTCAGTCATCCAGGTTATAGTCATTCCAAAAAGTTAAAGTTAAAAAATCAAACCTCCGGACTTTGTTTTCTAAGTTTGAAGACGTTTCGCTTCCCATCCAGGAAGCTTTTTCAAATCAAAATGTCTGGGTTAGAGTTGAGTTCCAGGCTTTTATAGTGTAGCTCAACAAAAAGTCTTGTAATGGCTTAGAAAACATGTACATTGAACATGGAAAACAAGCTCCCCATCTTAATAATGAGAGTCGTTGAGGTTGTTATTGACCTGCAAAACCTAAGATGAGCGGAGTGGTGTATGAAGTTCAGTGTAGTGAGGAAAGCTCTGAACTTTATATTGGAGAAACCAAACAACCTCTCCACAAACGCATGGCTCAATACAGACGGGCTACCTCCTCCGTACAACATTCTGCTGTTCACATACACCTTAAGGACAAAGGACATTCATTTGTGGACCAGAATTTTTACATTTTAGATAAAGAAGACAGTTGGTTTGAAAGGGGTGTGAAGGAAGCCATCTATGTTAAAAGAGAAAAAACAATCGCAAACAGAGGGACTCAGAGACTCAGGTTTCAGCCTGAACAACGCAACGATGCAGTTCATTCCTTCCCAATACCATCTCAACCCCCACCGCTATGCAGGGGAACAAAATATCTCGTCAGGTTAGCAAGGCCACCAATGACCCTTAACGACTGCCTTTTCAGAGGAATAGGCCAGTATCGGGTATTGCAGGGCAACAACAAACTCAACGACTCCCATTATTAAGGGGGGAGCTGGTTTCCCAGTTTCAATGTGCATGTTTTCTAAGACAGCGGTCCCCAACCTTTTTTGCACCACGGACCGCTAAATGTCAGACAATATTTTCACGGACCGGCCGAGGGGGGGAAGTGGGGAGCGGAGGGGGATACGATCAAGTAAAATGATACGACTGGCATAAAATCAAATACAAACAGCATAAAAACAAAACAACAAGCCGGTCCCATCTAGGCATAATCGGAGAAAATGACAGACAAAGTGTGCTCCTGATGTCCAGTCTGCTCTGTAGCTTTGTTTTGGTCGCTGTAACCGCAGAAAATCCCGCTTCACAAAGATAGGATGTTATAGAT